ATTTACATCAGCACATATCCCACTTTAGTTTGCTCCCCCACAAAGCAGAATTAGAAAATTCATTTCTCTAACTTACTACAAAAAAAGGGAAAAAAAATCAGTTTTAAAATCCACATCTGGGAAGACAATCCATCTTCATAGACACAGCCCCATCTCCACTGGTCATTACCACTGTTCTGCATACACCTGCTGTGGAGTTTCCCTGTGTGATGGATGCACAAGACATTCTACAGCCATCATCACACATAAAATGTAGAACAAAGTGTGCCAACTGAAATTGTACTGTTGAAGTCCTCTATTTTTCTCTGATTAGCTTGATCTGCCAGCAGAGAACTGGTTAATCCACCTGACTTTGCACTAGAGGGAACAAGGAGCACCTATGAGAGCTGTACTGCCAGTCTTTTATAGAAAGAATAAACTATGGCAGAGGAGTAAACTGCAAATGTTCACATATCAAATTTCAGAACTAGTGCATACATAGCAACATTTCCATCAGAGAACATTTTTCACGCAGCGACATGAATTTTTGACTAAAAATGTGTTTCCCTCAACAAGAAAGTTCATGTTTTTTGTCACTTGTAGATGAACCTCTAAAATGTTCAGACATTAAAAGCAATAATTTAAGCCATTTGAATATGAGCAGGATAATATCTATGACAGGATTTTTTTCTAAAATAGCTTTGGACCACTGCCCTTTTTTTAATATTCATTTGGAAATATAAAGGTTGTTAAAAATCAGTGGGTCTTAGAACTCAAGTTACCTCTAAAATGCGATTTAAAATCCCATTTCAGTTAGGTATTTTGAAATGTCTAACAGTCCTGATTCATCAGTGATCCTCCAACACATTCCTTTCATCTGAACATGATTACCATGTGGAACATGATTTTCTCCCTTGTTTATATCTCTTAACATCTCCTTACCTCTCCTCTTCTAATTCAGTAATTGTGTCATTTCAGTCAGTCATTTGGGAGTATTTTGCTGGAATGGTGCTTTTCTCTGTGAAGCTGCATTATGTTACATCATTGCTAAGAATTCAAAGTATTCTGTAATAAGTGTCTGGATTCTGATTAGATTGCTTCAGCCACATCCTGAATAGAAACTACTATTGCTATCAATATCAATTTTCCTTGGTTTTGGTTCTGGTTCACATAGGAAATATATTATATGAAGAATCTACTCCTTTGGCCTCCTTTTTCACTCCAACAATTCTTCTCAGCATCACATCACAGAGAGTTAAATGAGGAGAGTTTGTCTTGAGTTCTTTGTTCTGTGCTTCATGTCTCCTTGGCTTTCCTAATTTATTTTAGTTTCACTTTGTCTCTTTACATCTCACCCTGTTGGGAAGACCTATTTAATATTGTGAGTGAAGTCCCACATATAGTTTTATGTAGTTTTATCCCTCTTCACATATGAATTAATAAATAGAGTGGGGAAAAGAATTATCAACATACCTTCTAGTGATACTTTGCTACTGTGGAAATTTAGCATGTACCAGATTATCTTGGCTAGTCATTGAACTTTGCTTTATGATCTATTGGTTTCTAGTGAAAAATAGCATTTTAGATATTTTAATAGTGTCTCATAGAATGTTATACAGACATTGTTCACATGCAATGGGTGCTCCAATTGCGATTTCTAGCAGGAAAGCAAGGGGTCTTCATTTGTCATTGTAATATCCATTTTAAATCAGTCACTAAAGTGACTAGCAATCTTAAGAACATACTGTGGTGGACTAAAATAAGCTCAGTTACACTTTTCTGTTAATTAGGAGCAATTCAAATGAAACCACTATTATACTCTAGCTTTCTACAGGTACACAAATATCTAAGTCAGGCACAGAGAGATTTATGCAGTGTTTTTACATACTTACACACATCTAACGTGTTGCTCATTGGACATACTCTTTAAGCTTAAAACATTTTTGAAGAGCAATATTTTTTTTGCATTACTGTAATTCCTAGTCAGTTTTCAGGAACAATTAGGTCATCATTGTTTTCTTTCACATTCTCATTAGTTTTGTGTTCTCTGATGATACCTATGATTTCTACCATAACCAGCACAGGCACTTGCCAACTCTGTCTGAAAATGTGCAAGTGATCTTCACTTGCACCAGAAGTTTGTCACAAATCCCCTGACAGAATAAGAAATCATTTAAAAGATACACATAGAAGGAAACCTGTGTCTAACTTTTCTGCAGAGGAAGTAATTTATGAATCAATACCTTGTCTACTTATGCAATGGTCTCCAGATTAGTTTGGGAAGTAAAAGAATCAGAACAAATTTTTAAACTAGTTCCACCCTCAAACTGCAGTCCAACAAAGACCTGAATTGTGTGTTCACTCTCACTAAATTTGGTACCTGTTGTTAAAGCCATGGGGAAATGGACAGTGACAAGACTGGATGAAGAATCTTTTCCTATCAGCCATTTTTTTCCAGTGTACAATTACATTTGATTCTGTTCTACATAACAGCTTGTTTAGGAAATGTACTGAAAGAAACAGTCTTGCACTGGTAAAGCATTGGCAAATGGAGTGAACTGGTCTTTTCCATCTCTCACATGTGTGATCTCAGAGAATGGTCTGTCATCTGCCAGACAATGAAATGTATGTTGTCATTGAGTAGCTAAAGGTCAGTGTTTAGCTGAGCTAGGAAAATAATTCAGAGCAAATCAACTATTAGGCAAATGCTGCTTCTTTTTTGCTTACAAGTTGTCTGCAAATAGATCACAATTTTCTCAAATATATTCATTATTCAGAATTATTTCCTGAATGATTTTTGTGTGTAATTATTGGTCTGTTCACAAGCCTTTCATTTTGGGTGCTTGGTTTTCAAGCTGTTTTAATTGGGTGCACAGATCACATGGCATCTTTCTATCCTTTGGTAGGCTAAATGTAACTCTTGGACTCCACTTTCTGATGGAAAAATCTCAGTTACTGTCTTGGAGTTCAATGACCACTGTCATTCTGTTATCTGTTCCCATCATTTATGTAAGTTTTATGTACATAAAACCACTAAAGCAGATTCAAGTCCATGGAATTGTCCGGCAAATCAGGAATAAATGTATTGAATCCAAAGAGTAATATGGTGTACCACCAGTGTGAAGAATAAGAACCTTGAGAAATCAAATTTCCTTTATAATAGTTCTTCATTATAATTACAAAGCTTAGTTTAATTACCTCCCCCTTCATATCGAAGTTTGAATTCCATTGGTTTCATATGTATTTCACAAAGATTTTTCTTAGCCCTCTTCCTTTACCAATCATAATGGAGTTCTTGGATTACACAAGCATGTGTGAAACAGGAGTAACTAACCCAAGTATGTCACAGAGACTCACTTGGATTTAGTTGTTTGCAGCTTTATTTGTGTGATTTCTCACATTTTCTCTGTCAAAAAGGCCTAATTCTCCTTTGTCTCCTCATGCCAATGTGTGTGCGTAATCAGGGCTCTGACAGACAAGTTCTAGCATATCCAATGGTGATGAGTTAAGGCATTACAGCTTCCAGGACATCCAGAATTCTCCTTGCCAGGCAGATATCACTTTCCCTAGCAGAGGCACTAGACAGAGACCTCTTGTACCTCCATACCCTCCCATCCACAAGCTGCCATGCACAGCAGTGGCTGCTGCTGCTAAATCTTCGAGCACCACATCAACATCTGCAAGGCCTGCAGCGTCTTTACAGCCGGCAAAATGACATGGTGGTGTAAAGCTTGGCTGGAGTGAAGTCATGTTTATGGGGTGTCAAAAACACCCCATTCAAATGCAAACTGTACAAAACTTAGAAGTAAAACATAACAGCCCTTGCAGCTCACTTCAGAAGGCATCCAAAATGAAATGGCATTTGGGAAATTATAGCGTGAACTATTGCCCAATATAATTGTCAGCGTCGGGCTCTGATTTCATTTTCACTGTTTTTTCATGAGTGCAACTTTTCAAAGCCTGTAACTTTTATATCACTCTGAAGCCTTGATCCAGCAAAGCGCTTACACACACACCTAAATTTAGACTATGGATTCAGGGAGCCTGAGATCAGGAAGGGACCATCTGTAGGAGCTCTTCTGTAGCACACACCACTTAGCTTCCCCTCCTGACTTCTGAGTTGAGCCAAATACTTTAAAGTCCAGGAGCAGTTCCTTTGAAATGAATTTCAATTATCTGCCTGCTTTGAATCAAAAGCCTGCTACATGGTTTGTTGGACCAGGGCCTCCAGGAAACCAGAATCTGGTCTCCAACACCCCAAATCTTTCCTATGCTTTCCAGTAATGGTTTGAATAACAATTATCTTATTTAAGATTTCCATGCATTAGCTAACAGGTTGGTTTGATAAAGAGCATCAGGACAGTGAACTGCCTGTAGCTGTCAGCTCTATCCTCAAAATGCAAATTGTGCAAAATTCTGCCTTTTAATGTTCGTGTCTTTGTCCCTAGCTGAGAAGGAGGAGCAGATGTTTAGCTGCAGTTACATTTTGGTACTTCTCACATAATACAGTCTGTGGCCCAAATTCAGGTCCTGGTTGAATTTGTAAGTGTTCTCCCTATTTGCATTGGCATCCAAAAAGCAGAACATGGTAACAAACCTCAGTGCATACACCATACGGTTACATTTGTGGGGAGGGAAGGAAAAAACCACGAGCAAAGCACTTCTCAGCACCTTCAGAAAACTGAGATAATGGCCCCAAACATAGCATAATTCTGTATGAGAAATGTGTCTGTTTCAAGCATTATTCTACCACTTTCTCTGAAGACCTCTATTCAGGATATACCTTGCATTTTATTTAAGTCCAAGGGATGAAAGCAGAACTTGAGCATCTGCTTAGCATCATTCAGGTTCTCACATATCCTTCTCAAACAAGATTTTTCTCCTGATGGACTCCCATGAGAACTGACAGAAAATATGGCAGGAGCTCTGTCTTCTGTACTGAGGCTTCAACCCCTTGCTCCCTTCTTTTTCCCCTTCCCACCCCTCAGTGTCAAAAAAACAGGAAAGACAAGATTTGGAGATCAAGTCAAATGTCCAATTTATTTTTATAACTTGAAACTGGAACAAACGTTGTTTTGAACGAGCGTACAAATGAAATGGTAGACACATGCTGAACTCAACATTGTGACAGTAAGGGGAAAAAAAAGAGGCCAAAAATCTTGTACAGAGAATAAAAGGAACAATAAATATTTCACTAAGCCATATTGAAATGACCTCCAGCCATCTCAACATTTTATCCATAATAAAAAAAAAAGTGCTCTCGTTTTTTAAACAGAGCACAAATACCAAGCAATAATAAATAGTTCCAAACTTGTAGTAAAAGACAAAACCTCCAAGTAAACAACAAAAGCTCATACAATAAGTAATAGAAAAAGGTAATAAAAATATTTTGCCTTGCCGGTACAAATGCAAACAACTTAAATCAATGTTACTTTGCTTTGCAGTTCTAAAATACAAAGAGCACCATAAAAATGAGTTTGCCTGTGATAAACAAAACCTTGGACTGTCTTTTACATAGGACTGGGATGAAATGCTGATTTTTTTTTTTTGACCCTTTCCTTAAAAATTTCTATTTTTCTTTCCAAAACCAGGTTTCTGCACCTGTCCTGTTGCCAGGGAGTCAACTGGAGTTTTGTTCTGGACTTCAATGGCAGCAAGACTACACACAATGAAAGTAATAAATTCAACCTTAAAAAAAATATAAAACTAGAGGTGTGAAAAGAATTACGGCAGCATTCTAGCTATGTCCATGTTATATTGTGCTTATGGCCTAGTAAACTACGGCTCTTCTAAGCAAGAAGAAAAGGAGGGCCATTTCAGTATCACTACAGTCTGCAGAAACACAACCCTTGTGCTTTTGGGTGACTTATTGTTAGTTTCAGTGATCTAAGTCACAAAATTAGACAACTGCTGGTGTTAGCTATCCTGGATAATTAAAAATGACAGTGAGACTGAAACTCCTAAACAACTTACAATAAAATGAAAAGTGAAATTCTTTCTTAAATCAATTAATTATGGATTGAAAATGTGCAGTTAACTTCTGTTCTTCGTTGCACTGATGCAAGTCCAAGAGATTCTTCTGAGTTCTGTCGCATGACTGGATTTATACAAAAGCCAGAGATCTGAATTTTCACCAAAAAGTGAAAATGTGCCTTTAAGGGACCACATTCCAACCTCAATTATACTGGAATAATCCAGGAGTAAGAGTGATGAATAATTCCTGATTTATATCAGTTTAATTGAGATACAGAATTTGTCCAGAAGATTTAAGGGTGCGACATTCAAGCCAGGAGGGCATATATCTATCTGATCAGGTGGACCAAATTCTCCCTACTGTCACACCCATGCCTCTCCAATTGCTCCAGTGGTTCTGCACTGATGAAAGCAGAATAATTTGGCATGGCAATATATTTTTTTCTTGCTTTTGTTTTAAGTTTTACCGTCATTTTCTACAAGAGCGGTGATCATTTTCTCCTCCCCTTCACTAAAGCATTAGTGCCTCTTCTGCCATATCTTCCCCTCGACCCAAAAGGGAGAGAGTGTGAGAGAGAGAGAGAGAAAAATAACTGCAAAGAAGAGAGACATCAAAAGGTACAGGATTTCATCCCAGTCCCTCAAACATTCAGAAATCTATGGAATGTACAATTAGGAGTGAACAGCAGCAAAGCAGCTAATAACATGGACTGGCAAGACCTGTACACGGAGTCGATCCTGTTCTGACAGGGAAGAGGAGGGTTATGCCTGGACTAATTTTACTTCAACCCGATTTCAGCTGTACCAACAGCAGGCCATTTCACCATTTTATGTCAAAGTGATGCAGCAGCTCTCACTTTTTGCTATAAAAAGGCTTTCTTCCAGAGGGCAGCGGCAGGGTGTGAGGAGCAATGAGTGGGGGTTGGCCAGGAGAGGGAAGATGCATTGGACATCTTGTTTGGAAGGAGGGGAAGAAATCTCCTCTCTCTCTCTCAAATCTGCAGGGAAGCTGTGGGATGTCACCCCAGACACCTTTCCAGGAACGGAATTTCTTTTCACACAAATAGGCAATATCCATCCAGCCTGGTTCAACCATACCTGGTAAAACCTTGATGCAAGGGGTCCAGGCAACTTTGAAGTTATTTAGAGCCCTGTGGGAACAGCACTTTTTTGTAGGCCATTTCTGACAAAAAAATATATATACAACTAAAATTATTTGTGAACAACAACAAGAAAAAAAAAAGTAAAATAAAAAAGCACTTAATTATTTTGTTTTGTTTCTTTTACTCAAAGGTCGTCTAACAACCCCCTTTTTTCCTGTACAATAAGGACTTCACATACAAATTTTTTTTTATTTTTGCAATATTTTATCCTGCCAAATTAAAAAAATATATTATGGCAGCCTGTTTGTTTGTTTTTATTTTTATTTCCAAATTCACTAACAAAAAGGTACATTAAATCCCTTTAAAAGGACAAGCGTACAGTTAAAAAATTACAAGCTTCAGTAAAAATACAGCAAGTGCCTACATCATATGAATCAACCAATATCAATATCCATTCCAGAAGGGGAAGGGAAGGGGAGAAGGGGAGAAAAAAAGAGAAAAATAGGTACAGGTCAGAAACGTGATTTTTTTTTCTGCAAAGCAATAACAATATTAAGCACTTTTTTCTACGTACTTTTTCTACATGGTGTAGCAATCACCTTTTAATCCCCGAATACAAGATTCTATACATTTTTGAAATAAAAATTCAACACCCAAGGCAGAAAAAAATTTACTAAAACTCAAGACTTTACAGTTACAGTGACAAGAACAAATTTATAGACCCACCATTTAAATTTTACTGCAACATTTTCAAGGAAAAAAGAAATTTTTTTTTTTCTTTCTGGTTTTGTAAAATGCCCAGGCATTCTCCATTATTACAAATACTGGTCCACTTTTACAGTAATCAAGAAATTTTAATATATATAATATATACTAAAACCCCGTCACCAAAAGAAAACAATATACACATGGCCATTATGGCATTTTTTAATAACCTATTAAGCAAACTTTGAAAAAAAAAAAGATTGCTCAAACACACATACACACAATTTCTTTTTTACCCTTGTATGTATTCAATACTGTAAACGTATTTTAAGACAGAGTGCACTAAATTTAACTTTTAAAAAAAAATTAGCCGTTGTTCCTGAATTGTTTTTTCTCATTCAATGATAGCAACTTGTAATTTGTGTCATTTGAGTTTTAATTCAGCAGTAAATCATTTCCATTCCATTTCCTAAGCAGCGTTGTCCTGAAAAAAAAAAAAGGCTGAGAATAATTCAGCTAATGTATGTCCGAAGTTGTGCTGGGTATACTTCTTCATTTGATTGGGTCTTATGGCATTTTCATGTCCACTATCTTCAACCAGTAATTTTTTTTTTTAAGTAAATGTGGCTCTTTTTTTTTTTTCTAAAGAATGTACTTTTCTTGTTTTACTTTTTTTTTAAAAGTCTTTCCATTTCACAAAAACATTTTGCATTTGTCTCAAGAGACTCAAATAGGAAGATCAGTTTTCAAGGCACTCACGTCAAATTGAATGGCAGTAGAAAAACTGTCCAATAAATTATTTTTATTTATTTTTCTTTATAGTGCCAGTATTGTGAATGCCATGCTTAGCAACACTGACACTTAATCTCAGCTGTTCCTTTACAGTTTAACCCACCTTTGGGCCAAGTAGAATATGATGTAATTTCTTGTTGAGAAGCCATTTTTCTCTTAACCACAAACAAAAGATTTAAAGTGCGGGTCAACATAATTAAAATTTCTAACCCTAATTGTCTACTGTTTGCTAATATTAGTTGAAAAAGGCTTTTAAAAATTTGGAATTTGAAAGTAGAGCAGGTGCATTTTTCTTTGCTTTAATTTTTCTCTGTCGTAATGCTTTTATCTGAATACAATTTCATTCTGTTCCTAATTAAGTTGGAAAAAAATCTTACTGACTTCACTAGGAGCAGAATCTTGCCAAGACAGGTAAATCAACCAGAATTTATTTTTTCGCTTCTTTATAATAACATCACTGTACAGCATCTGAGATAGTTCTAATATTTCTATTCATAAACCAAATGCCTGAGTTGAGGCTTTTCATTGAGAAATTCACACTTTCCTATCTTTTAGTAATCAACTACAGCAAATATGGACTAAAGTAAATGTCCTAAATTCAAATTTAGGATTTTGTGGTTTTTTAAAAAGAAAAAAAAAAGAGATGGCATTTGGCTCCTCTGAGGTTTGAAAATAATATTAAAATGCTCAAGATGTACTTTTATTGTCTCTGGAAAGAGTCACAGGAGGGGAAGAGGGAGGGAAAAACACTCCAGAAAGTGACAAACTGGCATCATTATGTTGCTATAGCTTTTAACAAGAAGAAACTATTCTATAGTAATGCACAATTAAGAATGTTTCTGGGTTTTGAGTGTAGCAGCCTTCTGCACCTATGTCTTTTTTGTTGCCATAACGTTAGCGCTGAAATCCATCTAGAAAAGGCCTCTGTCTTCAGTGACATTGTCAGTGCTACGTATTTGATCCAATTTCAAAAGAAAGTGCTAATTTTAAAGATTGTTATCCGCTGTACAATTTTGTTTTCCCTAATCTTCAAGGTTATTTAAGAAGAGGAAAGAAAAAAAGGAAGGAAGGAAGGAAGGAAGGAAGGAAGGAAGGAAGGAAGGAAGGAAGGAAGGAAGGAAGGAAGGAAGGAAGGAAGGAAGGAAGGAAAAGAAAGAAAGAAAGAAAGAAAGAAAGAAAGAAAGAAAGAAAGAAAGAAAGAAAGAAAGAAAGAAAGAAAGGAAGGAAGGAAGGAAGGAAGGAAGGAAGGAAGGAAGGAAGGAAGGAAGGAAGGAAGGAAGGAAGGAAGGAAGAAAGAAAGAGAAAGAAAGAGGGAAAAAAGAAAAAAGAGAGATTTCAGTTTAAATGCTGGCTTCCTCACAAGAAATTACACACACTTAGCTTAAATTTCAACAAAGCAGCGGCCCAAAAATTATAATTTTAAAAGATATGTTTCTCTCCTACAATGCAAGTAATCTCAGGCTACGACTGGGTAAAATTAAAAAGGGATACCCAACAAAATTTTAAAAGAAATTTAAACAGAAAGAATAAAAAAAGTACCTGCACATGCCAAAAAATTACAAAAACCCAATAAATACAGAAATTATTGCACAGTTAAAAGGCTCCACAATTTTTACTGCCTTAATCAACCCTCGGGTTTAATAGAACTTTGTAGACACAGGTTATATTTAAGTGCCAAAGTCTGGCACCTTACCATAGTTATGCTAAGTTATGTTTACGGAGGCAAGTTAGGTCATCTTTTCTCAGTTGGCAATAGTTAAACTGTACAAATAAAATGTTACCTAGACCCCTGAAATTTAACCTAGTGGAGGTGGGGGTGGGGAGGGGATGGGGGGGGGGTGGTGTGGGGGGGGGGCCTTAGCTTCTTTCTGCCTGCTCAATTTTGACGTCATTTGTCAGCAAATGTTCTCCATGCCACTTTTTCATGTGTTTCTCCAGGGTGCTGTAAACACTGAAGGGCATCTGGCAAATGTCGCAGCGGTAGACCTCCTTCCCTATCTGGCCATGCGTTTTCATATGGCGCGTCAGCTTACTGCTCTGGGCACATGCATAGTTGCAGAGCTCGCATTTGTAAGGCCGCTCTCCAGTGTGGCTCCGACGGTGAACCGTCAAATTGCTGCAGTTCTTAAAGACCTTGCCACAGTACTCACATGTATCGCTCCTGCGTCCTTCCTTCGAGCTGGGTCGCCCGGGGCCGGGTCCGCTGATGTGGGGGGTGCTGCCTCCGCTGGCCGTGCCGCTGCGCCCTGAGAGCCCCCCGTCCAGCATGTCCCCCGGCGGAGTGGAGAAACGCAGGCTCCCGTTCTCCGAGGAGTGCTCGGAAGAGGTCGCGAAGGGGGATTGTCGGGAGTCTGTGAATCCGAGGAACGGATCCTTCATGAAGTGCCGCGATGCTGCATACCCTACCAGCCACTGGGAGTAAACGTTTTCAGAAGGTATTATCGTTGCTGGTGGCAAGTCCAAATCTTTCTCTACCTTTATTCTTTTAGAGGAATTGTTTAAACTGGGGCTCGTGATAGGTGTTGGCTTGCGGGGGAACAAGTTTGGGAAGGGTTCACCCGGGCCAAAGTTTCTTCCGTTGACCGTACCTTCCTCAGTGCGGTCCAGCTCTCCTACCACTGAGTCTTCGTCACCCGGATCTCTCTGACAGAGGTCTCGAGGACACAAGTCTCGCTGGTCAGAGGACCTTTTCATGAAGCTACTCCTCTTCTGTTTCTCAGCTAACATGTCGTTATATTGCTGAATGGCACCTAGACTTACATTCTCAATGACTTTTCCCAGGACGAGGGATTTCTCATCTGGCAGCGACTTGGAGCCGTTTTCTCGGTTACGACTCAGCTCTGAGTCCATACTAAAGCTTGACTCTGGCCGGCTCTCATTTTCAAGCTCCTCTTCCTCCTCCTCCTCCTCTTCCTCTTCTTCGTTGTCATGGCCCAGGGAAGGATCGCTCTCATTCCTGAAATCTGCCTCACTGGATTTCAGTCCCTCTCCAGTGAGCTCACTTGTGCCTGGCTCAGGGGAACTGGTGGTGGACAGTCCATCATCTGACCTGCCCGTCATGGAGCCAGCTTTATGCATATGCGTTTTCATGTGGCGTTTTAGCTTGCTGGCCTGGGAGCAAGCATGGTCACAGAGCTGACACTTGTAGGGTTTTTCTCCTGTGTGACTGCGCCGGTGCACGATAAGGTTACTCTGGAACTTGAATGTTTTCCCACAAAATTCACAGGACTTGCTCTTGGCCTGAGGCTGGGGAGGCGTAGTGCTGCTGGGGGGCATGGGGGGCAGTGGCGGGGTGCTCAAAAATGGTGATTTAGGACTCGGCTGGAAAGGATTCAACAGACGATGCATAGGGTTGGTGCGACTGGGTGAGACTGGCGGAGGGGTGGAACTGTTTCCTGCCAGCTCTCGAAGCCTTCTGGAGAAATCCATCGCTGGGGACTCAATTGCCATGGGGTTTAAACGCATAACTCTGTCAAAGGCACTGGGATGCTGGGCAACTAACCCCATTTCTTCGGCACTAAGGCGATGTGGATCCAGATGATGACGAGGCGGTGGGCTGAACAGCGGAGGCGTGTTTGGGAGCCGACCCTCACCAAAGCCAGGGTGTTCACGCAGGATGGGTCCTGTCATGCGCAAAAGGTTGAAGGGGTTGTTGTCTCCAAGAAAATTCATCAGCGGGGACTGTGCAACAGTCTCCGGTCCCAGAGGAGGAGGGATGGTGATGCGTGGAGTGAGGGAACTGTTTGAAGGGCTTGTTTCCAGGTAGATGCGGAATCCATGTGTGTTCTGGGCATGCTGAAGCAAGAACCAAGCGCTATTAAAAGGCTGCTTGCATGTTGTGCAAATATAGCTTGAAGGCTCATCTTTACCTATAAAAGAAAAAAACAGAAAGAACACTTAAAAAATAATACAGCGGAGAACATTTAAATACAGTTGGCATTCACTTTATTTTGTTAACACACTTCCTCCTTGGCATTTCTGAAAGAAGGATTTAATTGCAACGTATTGACTGATATAAATTGTTGAACAGCACATTTACTCACTGCACTTATTCACTTAACATGTATGACAAATATCACACATACGCATTTGTGCTATATGCGTTTACATCCTCTAATTTGCAAATAAAACCTTCTTTTATGACGTGTAAGGATCCAAATCCTTTCATGTGTTTATTCCACAAAAAGGAATTTGTTTCAAGGGATTTATGACTACAGACAAAAACCAAGAAAAATGCGGTGTGGTAGGTTTTACAAGGCACCTGTAAGGACCTTCAGCGTCATTTTCACTCTCTCATTTTATATACTCCATGCAGCAGTCCCCTGAGATCTTGCTGAATTTAATTTATACATGCTTAAGTCATGCCAGCACTTCCATTTTTAAAATATTATGTAGCTATTTAGCCACAAAAGTCCTATTCAAGTCAACAGCAGCTTGGAAAACATACCCTTGCATAAACCACTTTGACGTTCTTTTTGCCAAAACACCAAGAAGCCACTCAAATGAAACATCCGGTAATCAAAGCCGACAGCACAGTTGCAATTAACAGTAACAAATGTCGGGCCATGCTTGAACCGGGTCCCAAGAATTTCTGAGCCTGAGCCTGCCCTCCAATGCAGAAATGCTCACCAGAGCCAAAAACACTTCTCTGTTTGCTTTTCTAGCCTCTTGGAACAACTGCATAAAGGTGGAAAGCATTCCTTTAACCTTGATTCAGCTTTACATAAAGGACAGGTGTGGACAAGTCTGCATCACAGTCATAATTTTGCTAGCTAGAAAATTCCGGTCCTGGGCACAATGTAAACTATGTGGTATCTGCAAAAAGCACTTCCCTCCTTGCCCCCCTCCTTTTTTCAATGCCTCTGCAAGACTCTGATAAATTCATAAATATGTGTCAGCTTGAAAATCATGATCCAGGATTTGTTTTGTTGTTTGTTTTTAAATGAGTGGGAGGTTTCCTGAAAAAAACTGATAATTTTGGAAAATCAAAAATTAATTCCTTGCTTGCTTGGTTGTTTATGATAGAACATTTTGTCTAACAATGACCCCAGTGAACCTAAAGGCACTAAACTTCCTGAAAGCTCAATACTTGAACCAAGCTTCCTTTCTGACCCATGATGGAACCTGGACACAAGCAATGCCTGATTCGGCCCGTCCATGGGAGCTCAAATCCAAAGCTGAGCTAACAGATCCTTTCTAGATGGGACACTGCCATTCCCATAAGCCTGTTGCATGAGCTTGAAAATTAAAATGTTTATAAAGTGAACAGAAACATATTATCAAAACTACCTTGTAAAGAGGAATGACTCATAGCAGACCAAAAAAATCCCAAAAAACAAAAAACAAACATTTGAACTTGGGCATATCAAGAGAAGCTGATTGAATTCCCCTCTTCTGGCTGTTGCAGGAATGACTGCTGCTAACAAAACCTACAAAACCTTAGACAAGGAGGCTAGAAGATTATCTGCCTACCTATCAGCCTGTCAGTTTATTTAATCTTATCAACCAATATGCATCCATAACAGCATAAAGGAAAAAGCATGTATCAGATTGAGACATATTTACAAAGGTAGGTGATAAATGTGGTGCAAATCTTCATGCACCTATTGATTTAGTAGGGCTGTTGCTGTGGATAGCAGCTTCAAACCCTGATTTCACTGAAGCTGCCTCTTCACAGCCAATAAAAAATGTACACAATACAGTAGACATTTCTGCCTGGCTGATCTGGCCCCCATGCCCTGGCCCCACACTCTGTGTCTGTATGGGCCAGACGCAGTTGTTTTAATTTCTGACAATCAGTATTGGAAAAAAAAAGTTTGGGAACTGCCCTTGGCTTGGAAAAAAGTGCCTGTAACTGCTATTGACATTAATGAAAGCCACATACAAACATGGAAAGGAACTGATACATTATCCCTTAAAAATCTACTCAGCACTGAAGCAGTTAGGAAGTTTTATGTCAGCTTTGCAGCCAAAGCAACAGTAAATGCTCCCATTATTACTTCAAATATTTAAATTTCTGTTTCTTACAGAAATATTATGAAAATGTCTAGACCTTTAACTTTTCTTGCACAGCAACATGTGTAGTATAAAAAGTGACAGAAATCACTGAAGCAGACTAAAGTATATAACATACTCTGTCAAAAGCTTTTTTAAACAATATGTTTTACCTCAGTTCACCCTAGAATGGATTTTAATAAAGCCCCTTCCGAAGTGTGATCTAATAGCAAATGAAGTGCAGCATCTTACAAGGTCATATATCTTCAAATTAAAGAGTGCTCTGCACCCTTCACCTTCACTTTATCCACTCTAATTAATTGATTTATTACCCACAGCTGTTCAATTCTTTCATTTTTAAAGTCACAGCATGCACCCTTTTTTTGTTGTGGGGTTTTTTCTTTAAAAAATTAAAGACTGAGTGTCTGTGTATGTGCATGCATTCTCTTTGCTTAGCTCAAGAACTGACAGGAGGAAGAAAGCAGCTGTGTATTAGGCGACAACAACAGCAACATGTTTACTTCAGAAAAGGCACACACGTAAGAAGGAAAATTCCTGAGCAGGCTGAGGATCAAGGCCAACCTAAAACTGAAATGGCTGATTAAAAAAATTACCCTCAAAATGGCAGCTGACTGGATGCTTGCTATTACATGTTACATGGAACTAAGATATTTTGGCTTGTTTTGCTCTCCAAAATTTCACCTACATGAAATTCAAGAGGGGAAAGTAAGTCCCTACCTTTTTAGTTTTCTTTCAAAATGACAAAATTAGTGCTACTAGTGATCTAAGATTTATATGCTAGCAGCCATAGGTCTTCTCTCCCTTGTTTGTTTTGTTTAGCTTTCATGTTCCTCAGGGCTCCTCTTCAGGAGACCTCAGCACAACAGCAAAATTGACTGTAGGCTACCCGGCCACTTATCTCTGACTGATTCATGAGTGTTCATTTATGCATACCTATACATATATATTTTTACAGCCCTCAAAGTCTCTCCCCAGACTCCCTCTTTAAAAAAAAAAAATTTAAAAAAAAAATTAATTACCATATTATCACTTTTGGTTATCTTGCCTAAGCAGTGTAGATGCTCACTTTTAAGAACAGAAAAATGTCTAAAAGTCTTTGAAGATCCACTCTGAACATTTTTATGTTCAAAAACTTGCTAAATATTTTAAACATGCCCAGAAACAGCCATGCATTGCTCAAGAATGAGCCTTATATTTAATAAGGCACCTACACTATAAAAGTCTTTGTTATAAGGCTATTTTTGATATATCTATCTTAATCCCTTGCCACCTGCACTGAAGTCTGCCTAAATAGCCACTTTATGACAACTACCTATATAGTCTTTGCCATATGCAGTCTTTATCACTTTAGCATGTGATTCACTTTGAGCATGTGAGTAATCAACATCAGTGAAACTTAAGCATAGGCTGAAGTGCTCTGTTGGATAGTGATGAAATTATTCATGTGCTTAGAGTCAAACACAAGCCAAGACTTCATTAATACTGTTCAATGAATTGCACATGGTTTCAATCCTACAGTCTGTAACTAGGCTTGAATTTCAGGGCTGAGAGCTGAAGTATAATTTATTTTTACAGTAGTTTGTAGATATGTGTATGTACAGAGATGAGACATCCAGGTCGCAGCTCCTGAGCAATCAATTGTAGCTTCCAGGCTACAGTAAAGCCAAACAAATACTGCAAGTGTACACATGATAGAGGTTTGTAGGGCTGAGTCCTACTAAGACCTACTAAAATGGTATTTCAGGTATTCAGAAATACCATTTAAAGGCTAGGAGGGATTGTGAAATTAAGGAATGAGAAGACTGGGATAAACACTAGGGTATGGCCTCATCCAATTCCTGACCCAAAGGATAACAGAGTCATAGAATAGTTTGGATTGGATGGGACCTCAAAGTTCATCCCTTCTGTCATGGGCAGGGACATCTTTCACTAGACCAGGTTGCTCAGACTTCCATCCAGCCTAGCCTTGAACACTTCCAGGGATGGGACATTTGTAACTTCTCTGGGTAACCTGTTCCTGTGCCTCACTAACCTCAGAGTAAAGAATTTTTTCCTAATATCTTATCTAAACCTACTTTCTTTTAGTTCCCTCTTTGTCCTGTCACCACATGTCCATATCTATGAATCTATTCATATCTATGCCAGCTGCTCCAATATCCTGCTTCAAAGGCCACCAAATGGAGAGCCTACAATCTTTTTAAAGTCTACCTCATTCCTTCTCTCCTTTACCATCATTAAGATTCCCCAAGTGCCTAATCTAAATCTTTCTTCCTGCAATTTAAGATAGTATATTGTCCTACCCAGATGTACATGCAAAACACAGGAAACAAGTTAGTTTGCACCTCACAGTTATCATCCAACCCAAGGATTTGCAGCTGAACCACTTTGTGTCTTTTAGCATCCCCTTCTCCCAGTTTGATTTGAAAATGTTGAGGGAGAGTTCACTTTGTATTGGAGCAGTCAGTGGCCATGTTGACTATTTTCAGTATGAAAAAGAAAGCTGTCTTTCTGATTCAAATTGCTGAGTTCAACTCCCAACAATTAGATCTTGCTGTATTTTTACCTGGGAGATTAGAAATCTCTCTAGTATCTTCTCCTAAACCAGGTCATTATAAACTTTGAACTTATTGAACACTGTTGCCTTTTCTGCATATTATGACAAAAAATGGTCTTTTCCAGAAATATTATAATGTGTTCCCTCGATTAGTGCATGACAGATTATGTTCCATTCAAAATGCCAATGCAATAAGGAGCCTTTTTCTCTTTCATGAACAGCTCTAAACAAAGCTGAATTCAGACCCTGCCTCCCAAATTCTGCCCTAACAGTAGACAGTGAGAAAACACAGGTCAGAAC